GTGCTAGATGATTATAAGTGATCATACATGCATGTGCAATTATGTTTCTGCTAATTTAATTATAAATTAATTTATTATTTTAAATGATTATAAGTGCTCATACGTGCATATGTTATCATGTTCCTGCTAATTATAATTTACGTTTCTATCTGTTAGCAGGGTTTAAATAAATTAGTAGGTAGATGATAATATATTTTCATGTTTTAATATAATATGAATTTTATTTTCAATCTTGCTCAGGTAGAATTGTCGCATAGTTCTCTAGCAAGTGGGTTTAGATAATCCTCGAGGCGGCTTTTGTAATTGTCTGAATGTGTTCGCTTTTCATCATTTATTGTGTTTATATCAGCGTCTTTATATATGATATAATACCGTATCTTAATTTGTATAGTACTTTTACACTATATTGTTTACTTTTTTTATTGTACAATTAATTTCAAGTAGTTTCTCTTTACAAGTAGTAACAAGTTGTGCAATCATTCTCTGTTCAAGTAGCATTATTGCTGATATATAGCTTATAATTATTCATCACCGTGTATATTTTGTGTTCGTTGCAAGAACATCTTTATCATATATAATTAAACTAAGAACTCACATAACTGTTCGTCCTGAGCATAATTCATGCTGATCACAAAGCCCTCAGAATATAGGTGTTCTGGCTAATGTGTGTAGAGAACAAACAAAGTTTATCTTCGTAATGAACCATTTCTTGTTCATAAAAGAGAAGGATATTACATCAACAGGTGACTGTGAATATAATCTCTTTAATAAAAAAATACAAAAGTAGTTCTATTTTGGACATCCACTCTTCTGTTATTATTTTAAGTGCCATTTCGTTTTGTTCATATTGCAGATACAATTTACGTACATAGTGTATATTGTATAAATTCTTGAAGGGTGTTGAAAACTATATACTGTGGATCAGATATATGACTATATTCTAGTAATTTCAAGTTTGAGAACAACAAACTTGTATGAATGCAGTGCACTAATGTTAACTAGAGAACTTGCACGATGCTGCTGTCAGGTACTACAAAATTCATTAATTAATTCTATGCACGCAGTCACCTCGAATGGCATTTTAACAGGATATATAAAATATTTAATCACTCAAGGAAGTTGTGATAAAATAATAAAGCTGTTTATATTACAAAAGTGTTCAAATGAATTTTAATTATTTATGTTTAATTGTCTGATATGTAAGTTTGAAGCATCGGTAAAAATTAAGCACTTTTTTCAATCTACAAAATTCTTAATCTTATATTTTATAGATCTTCTTATATTCGAACTCGAGGATCTTATTGAAAGTATAATAACGAATTTATTTTTCGTTATTTGTACTAAATCGTAATTTTAAAATCCAAGGATTTTGGTCAATGTTAATCATATAAATGTACATAAAATAGAGCACTATTATTTTCATATAATATTAACATGATGTATAGTCACAACGTTTTCATTAACCACCCTTAAGGTAAGGATGTCCCATTACTTTAATGTATTATGTTACGTCCCTCGTACAGCTATACTCGTTAATAATAAATATTTTTGGGAAGTAAATCTTATAGTAATTCAGAGGATTATTATATAGCCTTTATAAATAATATTCTTCAGAATAACTGATTTGCCGAATCGTTCTGGTAAGTCAGATGATTTGAAATATGTGTATCAATTCACCATTTGCCAACTTTTCTTATGTTTATTAGATACACTATACATTTATTGATTGCATTCTATTCACACCCATCTGTAAATGATTAAATTGTTAATTGTTATAGAAATGATTAAATCACGGACATTTCTTAATCAGTAATTAGATAAAATTTTGTTTTGCAACTCAGTTCACATAATCCATTCTGAATACACCAGAAAAATATCCGAAAACAAACTTGTTCCGAAAATACAAAACAAATATTTTTACAGCAGACGCTTTTAAATTATTATTCCATCCTGGCTCACCCATATTTAGCAGCCGCTCCCATTGATACATATGACACCACAATTTACATAGGAACATCGGGTAGAAATCCATATATTCTATGTAAGCTGAATTTTCTTTTAAATCCTTATTTCATATTTTTATAAGATTTATGTGCTCTACAAGATATGTTTTCCTCACTATTGGCTAACTTCTATAAGCTTTAATGCATATAAACAAAAATCAAGGCTGTGAATAACTTTATATTCCATCCTTTCTATATATTAAGATTATTAACTTCTCTAAGAACAAGTTTATGTTTTCTCCGGTAAATGCGACTTGCTAATTTTCTTTTCGCAGCCTTTCTCGCCAAAATATGTTTCAAATTATTACTTTTTGTCAAAGTTACTCAAAAACAGTTGAATCGAATTTATAAATCTCTAAGTCATTCGATGAAACTCGGGAAGAAATCGCGTTGCTTAGTATTGCGAGACAATCGGTTGAGCCAGAGGTTTCAAATCTTTCTGGCACCGTGCCCCCCCTGCTCTAATAAAAAAATGGTTGCACCCCCTTAATATCTCAAGAATTTACTTTCATAAATACGCAACTGATATTATCAGACTACAAACTAGTATGCAATATTATGTAAGAATATGCATAAAAACTCAATAATTTTAATAACATTTCAAAAATTTTGTATTATTTTTGAAAAAGGTGCCTCCCTTAGAACAGCCGGGCGCCTCGCTGAGGGGGGCGCTCCACAGTTGGGAAACCGCGGGGTTAAGCTATTTCTTTATAATTAGTAGAAAATTTTAATAAAAATACAGTAAACTATTTAAAAGTTTCAAATCTATTTTTCAGAAAAATCGAATTTTCGATACTGTTACTTGTAAATATTTGAAATAATCAAAGGAAAATTTTACAGATTATGAACAAATCAATTATTCTGAGGATGATAATCATCAAGATAGTTGTCATAATGCACACTATTTTTTATAATTGTATTTAATATAATTTTATAATGTTTCATAATGAAAGTTAGACTCCCAAAATGCAATTGCAAAATTTGCAAAACAAATGAAATGACTTCGAGCTAAATCTGTTTATCTGAATGGACCAATTGTAAGATATTTTATACAATTTGGTAAGTGTTAACAAACAAAATATTGTTTTATGAACTAATAAAATAACAAGCATGTATAAATGAACGTTTAATTTACTTCGCATATAAAGTTTTTAACTGATCTTTATCAAATTATTAACTCTTAAAGACTCTATATATATTTTTATCACTTATTATCTAACAAAATTTGCAGAATCTTGCGAAAACGTTTATTCACTTTGCAATTATATAAAATGCGCCAAAACATTTTATTACTATCAAATATTCCATTCGAAATAAATGTATGGAATTCGTTATCATGCCCTGAGCGTAGCTAATTACTTTTGCTTTCGTTTCAATATAGTGTGGGTGTGTATTCTTGGGCTAATTTATTATTCATGGCTTTTAACGTCGGCTCAAGATAATAATCGAGTATTTGTAAGGCCCTTAATGCATATTAGGAATCGCGTGAGGCTAAAGTTGTCTCGAGGAACCCATTCGACCTTTGAGGGCGGCGATATTGGGTACATTTTGTTCCGCGTCCCTCGTTTTGTTCAAGGAATAGACGATTAGAGTAACATAGACTACAGATAAAAGACATTTAAAACAATGGCACTAGGCGAACCTAGTGAATTTTTTAAATTTCTTTAATTGTATTATTTATTTTTAAATCATAATCCTATAACATTATTTATTTTTAAATCATTATCCTATAACATTATTTATTTAGCTACTAAGCATTCGTTTTTTATCGTTACTGTGAATACGTTTTTTGAATTAATAGTTAAAAATTCAAGAATTTTTTTCATTTTCAATTTCAACATTTAGGCATTAATTAGCAAATCTATTAGTATGACCTACCACACTGTTTTTTATTTCTTAATTCGACAACATTCTACATTTGTTTATATTTATAATATTTCTTCTTAAATATATAGATATTTCTTCCCCCCATGCTTTTATTTAACTTGCGCTAATTATTAACTTCCCGAAGGAGAAGTTTATGTTTTCATCAAAAAATCTGAATCGCTAATTTTATGTTTTCTCGACGTTTCAAACCATTCTGAATCGAATGAGACCATATTTCGAAAAAGTATGTGTGTGTACGTTTTAGCCCGCAATTATAAATTGATTTTGAAAAATCAAAAACTGTTCGAAAGATATTGGTTGGGAATCATGCTGATTAGTTTTTGGTAAAAATTGGCCGGGCCGTTTTCTTGTAATAAAGAGTTAAAAAAAATTTTCAATTATTTTCATGATTTTGTTTGACGGCAGATACCATAGTCTTATAGATCATACTAAAATATTACGGCCTTACGACATGTCGTATAATTTTAAAAATTCTTCAAAGTTTGTAAAAATGAGTAGTTTTTTGACGCTTGTTAAAATTAAAATTAGACGATTTACTCTAGGTATAACGATAGAGTGTTTGTTCGTTTTCAATGACTCGAAATACTTTTTATCACTTATAAATTAATTTATATTTTATTCATTAAGTCGATTATTTACACATGTCGGGAAGTTCATGTAACTTGCCTCCAGGCAAAATACCAATACCAATTAGTTTTCATACGGTTTTAATGACAAAAGTTTCTGAAATATTCTATTGGTCATACTTTTGACTATACATTTATATATGGAATTAATGAATGAAATATACGCATTGTATTCAGAAAACAAAGATAATGTAAATATGTATGATATGTAAGTTATACTAGTGTATAAGGACACTATTTTTATTCGCCTTGAACAATTTCAAACAAATTAGGCCTAATGCGCTTGAAAGTTCGAAAATTGATGATAATGTGCACGATACTAGTGCATATAAAGAAATTAAACCTATTTATTTATGATATAATTAATATATTTCAATAATATATTCCAATAATCTGAAAATAGTTATGATAATGAGCATGAAGTGTAAATAATTAATCATCGTTGATAAGATGGAAATAAATTAGTAATCACAAGTTAAGCTCTCGAATAATCAAAGACAACTACATAAGTATGAAGTAAAACATTTTGCACAAGCTTATAGCATCTATAAGGAAGAAAAAAAATCTATTTAGGAGTAAAAATTAAATTCAATAATAATCAGTAATATTATGTTAAAAAAGTAAACAAATATTAAAATCTACAATATTTTCAATTATTTACAACTGTATAAATGGCGAATGAATGAGTGCAAGTGATCGATGATTGTATTATTATTATAATCTACAATATTTTCCATTGGCTTTACTTATAATGGACAATTTCCAT